AAGTTCCGCTCGTTTACATTCATCATTTCTTGCAATCTTTTGGAAGTTCCGCTCGTTTACATTCTTTTTTCTCCCGTTGGGCTTGTTTTTGCATATAACGGGCTTAGGAGTCTGCCCAAATTGGGTATATAATTTCTGGCGTAATTTAGAATACCCAGCCATGATCTAAGGCCTTTCTTTGTGGTCAAGTCTTCTTCTTTGTATTCTGTAATTTTCTTGATAATGTGGGGCTGGAGCTTTATTTTCGAATTTCCCAAAATTGCTCCGAGGAATTCAATTTCTCTTACCGCTATCTTCATTTTTGTTGGACTCAAAATGAGTCCATTCTCCTGGCATATCTCCAGCATTTTAGTGAGATGTTGTCCATGCTCCCTTTCATTTTCTGAAAAGACTAAGATGTCATCTATATATACTGCAATGAAATCTTCAGTGCCTTTAAAACAGTTGTCCATTTTTCTTTGAAATATCGCAGGGGCATTTTTAAGGCCGAATGGCATTGCCAACCATTCATATAATCCCTCAGGGACCCAGAATGCGGTCCATTCAATAGATTCCGGGTGCATAGCGACTTGGTGAAATCCAGATTTCAAATCAAATTTTGAATAAATTTTGCTGTTGCTAACCTTTTTGAGAATCGTGTTGATACCCGGAAGGCTATATTGGTCTTTTTCAGTGATATCATTGAGTCTCTTGTAATTGAAGACCATCCTTTCTTTCCCTTTTCTTTCTATTCCCGTTATGGGGTCCACCGTTGTTCCTGAATTGACAATTATTGCAGTTGTTCGGTGCTTACTTTTGCTAGGCCTTATGACCCCAATCTCCAGTAATGCCTTTACATGCTTAGAAAAAGCTTCCTTTGCTTGTGGTGTTAGATGCCTCAGGGGTTTGTCTTCTACTATGAAATCCTGATTTTTTATTTCCAATTTGCACATTATCTCGTTTTTCTTCCAGTGTTTGAGGGGATCTTCCCCAATATATCCCTGAGCCTTCAATTGGTCTAGTAAGTTTCCGAATTTAGCCCTTATAATTTCATGACTTTGTTGGGCTTCTGCTGAATATAACACTATATTCAGCTCTTCCAAAGGCACATCCATGTACATGTTCACACTAAAACAAATCCTCTCAGGTTAGCACATCCATGTACATGTTCACACTACAAACCTCTTCCAAAGGCACCTCTTAGGTACTCACAGCAACACTACCAATCTGGAGCATATCTTGATCCACAAAAGCCTACCAATTACCAAGTAAACCATGTAGCTATAATGGATAAGAACAAAATGCATTAGCTTACGGCTGCAAAGAGCTTAGACATCAGACGAAAATGGTCGACAATACCAAGTCTACAAACTTGTACCTAAATCTGTTACCAAAAACAATATTGTGTTCAGCAAATTCTGTTCGAAACATTCAGGCTGTTGAACTAATCCATCCAACATTATCAAGCGAATTTCTACAGTACTAACCCCAGTAACCATCGGCAAAAGGGAGCGATCTTGACCAATCGAAAAAGGCTTACCGTCTCTTGTGCCGCACCCTTGATACCGAGAAGCTGATTGAAGCTCGAACCTCCCGCGTCGCTGCTCGCTGGCGCCTTCTCGGGCGCCCCAGCTTTAACTGCATCACAAAATCAACGAAGAGCTTATTTTTTCCCTTAATAGTAAAATCGAACGCGAAAAAGAAACAACAGCAGTTGTACCATCCATTACGAACCTTCATTGGCATCCGTCTCCGCCGCTTTCACAGTCAGTTTCCTCCGCCCATAGATTTCTGTTCAGATCTCAAACCAATCAACCAATTTATGAGGAAGATAAGCGGGATAACTAGCGCTTACTGTTGTCGTGGTGAGAGTAGAAAGATGGAGATGCGCGGACGGCCGGCGAGAGGTGACGGTGTGGGCTGCGATTGGACAACGTAATGGAAGAGATGGAACCGACGCCTAGAACGGAAGTCATGCTCTATATAGACCGGAAGAGGAAAAGCGAAGAGGGGGCGAAGCAAACACTGAGAGTAGCGGAGATGAGGAGATGGAATGGGGGGAGAATGAGCAGCGGAAGGCGGATAACTTAACCGCGACTTGTGACGCATCGCGGGACTACCAGGCTCCTTAACCTGCTCCACCATATTTGCTGCTCACGAGCGGGCATCCATGGTACCACTTACGAACTGACTTAGACAACGACCGTAACTGATCCCTCCTCTCGCTCCCGGGGATGGGTAGTCGTGTCCTATGTCGTGAGCAATCTTTCTACATTTGTTGGTGCGGCAACACTTAATGAGGCCCAAGGAATTAGTCACCAAACGACGTTCACCCAAGTTTCCCACTCAATAGAAAACACAACGCCCCAGTGGGACCTGGAATTTCTGACATTGACGTGTCTCTCGTGGGTCGGGTAAAGTTCGGGGTTCATCGGTTTGGGGTTGGTCAATTTCGATATATCAAGCGCGCATAGATTTGGATTTTGAAGGTAATTAACATGAAATTTATGGCTTTCCTATTTGATGATTATATGTGTAATATATATTATAAATCATGCTATCCAAGGTAAATAAGTTCTTGTTCTTTATTAAGTGCGATGCACTTTCTTTTATGATGACACGACATTGGTGTTAGTGACATTAATTAACACAAAGTTTCACTCACAGGTGCTTAGGTCATGATTACACAAAAGAAAATGAGAAAAAGATAATAAAGGACAACAAGTGGGGAGTAATTTACTTGCATTGATTAATATCATTTTATTTATATATTTATAAAAATAATGGAGTGATCCACAAGAGAACAAAGACACCAACGTGGTGTGTTGTTCCAAATGAGGAATTAAATATATCGAGGTTGAGGTTGAGGTTTCGATGTAATTTTCTAGTGTTGGTCTTCCATAATGCACAATTACTTTTCACTGTCTTCCATTTTGAGTTGCTTTAATCTTTTCTAGCTTATGTTTGTTTATCCCTCAATGTTTGATGCTTTATGTGCATGGATTTTAATTGAAATTGAAGTCCAAGAAACGAAACACTATTGATGTGTATCTAATTCGCATACTGGACTTCTTATATTTATACTGAATTGTGTATCTACTATAATAATATTAATGTTTCGAATTATTATCGATAATCTTCTTCGAGAATGAAAATAAAAAATATATCTATGATCGTTTGGTATTTTGGACTAAATTCTTCATTGTCTCAAATCATTATCAATAATCTTCTTCGGGAATGAAAAATCGAATATCTATTTTTATATGGTATTTCAGATTAAATTTTTTTAATCCTCGATACTCAATCAAAAATTTTTTTAATATTTGAATTGATCTCGATGATTCTATATTTAGTAATTCTTGAATTACTTCTGCTATATCAAAATAAGTAAGAATATTATTTCTATGTAACATATCCTATTTCGATATTTTGATCGAAATACGATTATTTTTGCTTTCGCAATGTATTAATAAATTTTATATGAATAAAATTATTTGTCCAACACAAACTTGACACATCGATACCGACTTAACAAATCATAATAAAATTAATTATATAGGGCATTTCTCATGATGAAAAATATTTTCAAAATAAAAAGTGATTATGATAATATTTCTCTAACTTAAGAATCATCAGTTACGGATAAAGGAAGGATCCTTCGATAGCACAATTCTCTCTCTTCATTTCTATCTTTTCCTTTTCATCTCAAGACTAAAATTATAATTAGAATGTACTAAATTCTCTATCTCTATCTTAAGAAAACACACACACACAATTTATTATGTTCAAAGGATCTGTTCCTCATTGACGATAAACTGTTTCTTACTTAAAGTTTGTCGATATAATTCTAGAAAAAAAGAAAAAGAAGCTTAGTTGGTAGAGATACCAATGAAAAGCTTACAAGAAGAGCTAAGGTTAGGCATAGTGATGACATGACTCACACCCCATCTGCCAGATTTGATGGTCGAACTTTAAGACAGCACATTAGTTTGCCGAAAGAAAGGAGGACAACCTTAAAGTGGCTTTTCCACCTGACAAAGAAGACCTAAATCTGACGATAAGTGTGCGTGGATTCCTGTCATCATTGTGCTGCTCATATGTCAGTCACTGCTAACTTGGAAGCTGTAGTTCCTTCACAAGGAGGATGATGAGTAGAGGAAGCCTTCGACGGCTGAAGGGTTGTGTTCTGGATGAGAGAGAAAGGGATTTTGTGATTCCAAGTGATGGACGAGATGAACAGCTCCAAAGCCACAGATAAGATCATGGCAAATATAATAGACTGCACGCAAGACTTTTGTTTGTGATAAGATTGCTGATGGTTTTTGAACGTCAAATATGACTGGTGATAGTCTTCTTTCCCCCACTGACGTGCCTTATCCTCATAGCAAGTTCCAGCTGAAGTCAAATGCAGACTTATTGCTGAATCCATTGACAGTAAGCGATTTTGATCATTATGTGCTGAAATTGATCAGATCTCATCTAATTTTCAACCAAAAAAAACAAATGATATGATCGGATTTTGGAATCGAGTATGACTTCTCTGCATTCGATTTTAATCAAATGATATGATCTCAAAGGTCCCTATCATATCTTCCCATTCTATGATGAGGGATTAAAGTAAGGAAAAGAAAAGGCAAAGGAAAGCACAAGACTCCACAGCCATGGGTCGATCCACAAGGAAAGGGACTCGACTTCTTGTATGGTGGCCAACTCAATCAATGGAAGGCCCCTCCCTTATCATGGATTCTCTTCCCATCGCCTTCTCAACATGTCATGAGAGGAGATAATATATAGAAAGCTTGGCGCTTTGAGATTAGGACTCGCAGATGAAACGTGGAGAAATCCTGGCCCTTGTTGGGTTCGTTCAAGTGGATAATCCGACATTCTTCATGTATAAGATCCACTAAGCTTATCGGATTGAGAACTATTTCGGAACGCCCATCCGACCCGCAGTCGGAGAGGGATAGGGTTGAAGGTCTTAAAAAGCTACTTGACGCTTCTCGAGTGCGCCTCCCCGTCTCTCTCATTCCGCTTCTCTATCTCTATAAATAGTCTGCTATAGTCATCGCAGCAGCGCTTCGAGTAGCAGTAAGCAGGAAGTCCGTTTCTTCTCTCTTCTTGCCTTCGAGGGTTGGGGAGGAGAAGGTAGAGACGAAGCCATGAGCGCTTACGCTCTCCACCTCGCCATGGCGGCGCTCGTGGGCGCCTCCTTCGTCGCCGTATCCGCCTACTATGTCCACCGCAAAACCCTAGCCCAGCTCCTCGAGCTCGCCCGCGCCGTCGACCGCGATCGGGACGGCGGCGCCGATGGCGAAGGGGACGGGACCTTCAGGCGCGGCCCGTCGCTACGACACGGTGGCCGCCGGAAGGGTCCCGGGTACTACCGCCGCGGCGCCGGGTCGGTGTCGCTCCCGGACGTGATGGCGGCGGTGGATGGTGAGGAGGAGGATGAGGAGGAGAGGGTCCAGAGGCGGCGGCCGGTTGTGAATGGCCCGTTCTTGGGGGACGCGGATGAGGTTGCCCTCCGGGGCTTCCCGATTCCCCCTGGGTTGCCCCGGCTGCAGACAGTTCCGGAAGGTATTAATGGATCACTATTCTCTGCTTTCTACGCAAAATGATAGGGTTTTTTTTTCTTGCGTTGGTACTTTAGCAATGATGAACATATTAATTTCGTGTGCTGCATCTTTATGCTTTGTGAAGAAGGGAGATTCACTAATCAACATTATATTAGACGTGTTTGATGGATCATACGTACATATATTTCCCGCTAGAAGCGATATTTAGTTTATGTTTGTTGATTGGAACATGCGCTCTGTTTATGACTTTCCATATCGGACTAATGAAAGGGACTCCTGTTCCTACTAATTATTAATCAATTATCTTGCTTTCCTCGGTCTCTCTTCAGTCTAAAATTGTCCTTATTTGGTGAAAGCGTCTTATATTTGTCATATCGACGATTCATCGGGGTGATCTGTTCTACCCACTTGCCACATGAATCATCTTTCAGCCTTTGACATGGCAGATCAAATAATTTTTTGTTTAATTTCTCTTCATAGTTCATGGAACAATTAGCGTTGCTACTTTATGTTCAGGGTCAATCTCTGAGGTGCATAGCATTTACATACCTTTGCGTTTCAAGCCCATCAAGTATTTGTTGTTTTCTTTTGGGTGGCTATTCAGTAGTTTTGTGATGTTGTACTGCTCTAAGAAGCACGGGCACGGGCACGGGACACGGTGACACACCATTTTTAAAAAAATAAGACATGGACACGACAAGGACACGTATTTTTTAATATATATGTGTATCATATTCAATTAACATGAGTTTTATAGTATTTATATTTAAATTTTATAAACTCAGCAATGTGAACAAATAAATATCATCATCATATCATCATATAGGTTGAAACAATTAAAATTATCTAAATTTAAGTATCCAAAACAAAAGTTGAATTCTTCAGATATAATTGATATATATTTTCTCGTGACAATCTCTAGATTTCTTTTCTTGCGAAGCATATGACCCTCACACGAGGGCCACGTGAGCGTAGCGCCGCACGTGAGTGTCTGACACGTGTGTCAGTGTGTCCGACACGACACATCCAACAAAAGCACATGTCCGAGCTTCTTAGGTACTGCTATATTAACCATATCATGAAGTTTGTGGCACAAGAATATATCTTTTGTCAACATTTGAACTAGCTAGTAAATACATTAGAGTCATCAATTTTCATCAGTGATGGACAATAAACACACATCAGTAGTTTGAGGTCTTTTCAGCTCTCTTTTCAGTTGGTAAACTAGAGTTGTATACGTGCTATATATTTGATAATGGATCATAATTAAGCTTTAGTACTGACAGCTCCAGAACCAAGTTCAACAAGCCAACTGTTGATTTTCTCTAAAAGAATAGTATCTGCAGCTTAGAACCTTTTTTTTTTCTCTTATTTTAAATGAATGGAAGGGTGCATTAGATTTATTACATGGAATATGAATCACCGTTTAAACTTTTATACCTGATTTTTCCAGTCGGTATTATAGTATATGTGTCATCAATTTCATATATGCATGCAAATGATGTCTAACTTTCTTCTTGACTGTGATTATGCTTGGAATTAAAGTGGCACTCCTGATGTTTCAGGTAATAAGCAATCTGTTCATTCAAGTTTCAATAAAAGAGCAGCGCATGGTATCAGACCAACTTCTCCTAAGTCTCCTGTTGCCAGTGCTAGTGCCTTTGGGAGCCAAGAGGGATCTGATGAAGATGATAATCTACCAAATGATTCTGGACTTGACAATACCTACTTGGAAACTAATGGAGACATTGTAAGTTTAGTTCTTTAGGCATTTTTGCCATAAAATATTGTTTCTTTCATTCTTAAAATGACAGGATGCTCTTTTTATGGTGTATGTATGAATCTGTCAGTCTTGTTGAGCAAGTGTTTTTTCTTACCTTGCTATCATTATGTAGGGCTGTCCTCAACACATTTTTTGGAACAAATTAATAGGAGGTTTTCTATGTTACCATAGTCTCTTGAAAGCAGAAGAGTGTTTCTGTTCTTCAACGTTTTTCTTATTTATTTTCTTACTTTGTGGAATGTGCTAGTTGAATCTTTATATTAAGTTTCTTGAAGTTGTGATGGCATAGACATGAGAAAAGTTCTCTGAGTTGATGAAGTCATCTTGAAGTCTTTGCTTAATGCATGAGAATCAAGGGGAGACTGACATTTCTGCTGAGAACTTCCAATTCTAGGACTAGGAAAATGGAAGATTTCTGAATGAAAAAGTAAAAGCTAAGGTGAGATGATAGCCTATAAGAGATCATCGAGAAGCCAAAACCCAATCTATTTATGTGCTTAGATTTGCTTTTATTGATGGATCTATTTTTATATTATGAATCTTGTCTAAGGAGTATGTATTGCTGGGACTCTAATAAATTAATATGGCTTGATCAGAAGACCTTTCATGGACTTCCAGAATGTGGGAGCCTCATGCACTGGGGTGAAATGATACTTGAATTTAGCCCTAAACCATAAACCCTAACAAAATGTGGTGATAAAATGGAAGCTTGACCAAGGAAAATGAGAGAACATGGCTAAAATATATATGAAGAAGACTTGCTAAAGAAATGAATTTTCAGCAAGGTTGCAGGGTTGTGGTCAGGTTACCAAGTAATAGCATTGATGTGATATTTATTTTTATCTTCCTCATTAAAATATAAAAGATAAGTAACTGTATAATAGTAACAATATGCTTAGTTCTCTGTCCTTGCTTGGTTTCGTATGTGATGATTCTTGAACTCTTCATGTTAAATCAGTTCAAATTATTCTTTTTAATTTAGTTGTTGCAGTTAAATTATCTGAGGACATGGAGGGCCATGTCAAATCTGTGTTAAAAAAAAATGATGCCGTCCTTAAACAGTTGGAATTCTAGCCTGTTGTGTATCTATCTCTGAATTTTAATGTCAAAGCTTTCTTTACATCTATTTGCTAGAATTGCTTCTTGATATTGCATTACCTTTCTTGCAATCCTGATATATTTCTATTATGTTTGGTTCTTCTTTTTTGTCTTTGATGTTATTATGTATTTCTTTAAAAGACATTATTGATACAGACCCAAGGGTCAAATCTGACTAAAATTGGAATATATTTTTAAAAGGATCAAGAGAATAAGAATTTGTTTCAAGCTTTGCCTGATCATATCACTGACAATGGGGATCAGAAGTCATTAGCTGCATCTAGTATTATCCGATCTCACAGTGTATCTGGTAATCTTCACGGTGGCCAGCCTCACCCAGTAGCAGCTGATATTCTTAGAAAAGAGCCTGAACAAGAAACTTTTGTCAGACTGAGAATTACACCAAATGGTATGGCCCTCTGTTTTCCTGAATTGGTAATTATGTTTGATTTTTTAAAAACTTGGATCCTTAGTTCCCTTAATGTTTTTTTTCCCATGCCGTGGCTTAGTTCTGTGCAATATCGAACTGATATTGAATAAAACTGTTGTTTAGCTTCTTTCAGGAAAGAAGCTTATAATTGCTGCTATCATGTATTTTCCAACTTGTTGTGTTATTATCTGAATGAAAAATTTCCAACTATACCAGTGTCACTAAAAATTTATGAAGACATTCATTTTCTAACAACTAATG